TGTTGTTCTCCATGCATCGTACAGGCCGTATTCTTGTGTGAGCTTTAGAAGTGCTCTGTTCGTATTTTTCAGTTTAAGATGTCTAGTGGAAATACTAGGTGTTGTCGAATCTATACATGAGTCCATGGTATGGTTGAGATCTCTGCATATAATCATGGGGGCTGTCATGTCTGTCGGAATTTTGTGAAGGACTTTGTGCAGAAAATTGCGCTGTTGGTCATTTGGACTGTAGAGGCATACTAATGTAATCGGGTTGTTATTGATGATGCATTGTAGGATCACAAATTTACCTTGGCTGTCTTTCTTGACCCGGAGTGTTTCTACAGTTAGGCAGTTGTGTAGTAGGATGGAGACTCCTTTGGATTTTGATGTGTGAGTTGCATGATATTGTATTGGGTACTCTCTGGTGGCAAACCAGAGCATTGTTTTGGTTGGTATGGTATGGTATGTCACGTTGGTTGTGGCGATGTTCCGTCAGTGTAGGTTAGGCCGATCTGCAGATATTGTTAGTCAGCTTGGGGGGGATCTGAGTGGGTAGGGGTTTTTTACAGGAGACCTGTAGGTCTGGTACTTAGTCGTACCGTGGGGATTTGGAATTACGTTTCCAAGTGAGTGGCTAAGTGGGCTCCAATAAGAAGGGTTGCTTGGATCTGAAACCATTAGTGTAAACAATAACCAACATTTATAACATTTGTTAAACAGTGATCAATACAATTTCGTTTTAGGAGGCTTACAAGTAATATCTGCGCATACATTGTTATTTTAGCGGTTCCAAGTATTCATTGTTATAGTACCATACACTGTGTGTTCAGATGCTACCTGACTCCGTCCGTGGTTACATACTTGTGTGATAGCTCCCGGGAGCGTATTATCTATGCTTTGTGTGAAGTGGCTTGGTTATGTTCTCCCAGGGCTCATTAGATTCCTGTCGTGGGTATTGTGCCCTTCAGGATTGGACCTGGAAGGGATGGTGTAAGTACACACACATGAAGTGCAGGTGATTATCTGTGCATGTTCCAGACCCTGCTGTCTAGGGTTGATGGTTACCCTGGATGGGTTTTGCTGGTGGGGTGTTCCTGGTGTATGTGGAAACTGGCCCATATCATTCCTCTTTGTGTTTGACAGTGCAGCAGTGGTTATTTGCTACCCGGTGTACTCTATCGACGAGGAGCATATCCGTTGGGATATCCGGGGCATAGGCGCAGAGTAGGCCTTGTATATAGACTGGCAGTTCTTATGGAAGAACGGTCTCCGGGACTCCCCGTAGCCTCAAATTGTTTCGCCGAGCCCTGTCTTCTTGGTCTGCCACTCGGGCTTCCATGTGTTCCATTTGATGTTGCAGGGCATGTAGTTGCCTAGACATGTACCCTTGCGTGGATGTCAGTTCTTCATATTGCTGCTCCACTGAGGTGGTCCTAGTAGAGAGGTCCCTCACCTCCTTCTTGATCTGTTCCGCTGTCGTTTGCCAGGTACTTATTAGCTTCGCTGCCATACCCTACATGGATTGTTCAAAATATCCTCTTGTGAGGTATTCTGCAGGCTGGAGTGTTTCTGATGTTGTTTGCAGCATTGTGGTGTCTGAGTCGTCCGCGCCATCTTGTATAGACGCCCTTGCGGTCTCATTTGCAGACTGTGTTTTCTGTCCGAAGAAGCTCATTTTTTCTGCTTTGGTGGCAGATTTCTTCACCTTGGAGTTGGCCATTATGCTTGTGGATGTGTTAGAGGTTTCAGCTATGTTTGAAATAAGTTAGAGGGAGCCCGTGTGCCGGAGCAAATTACTGAGCGGCCATCTTGCTCGGCGGTTAGCCCCCCAGAGTAGGATTTTTTTAAGGGGTACCTCGAAGGCACATTCGAATTTTGAAAGGAGATAAACTTTAGGGACATTATTCCCCTTTTCTCCATAACCTAATAGCCGCTATAACCTAGAATATATTGTACTTTAATCACCTCTGGGATTATATTCCTGCTGTCTATTTGCCCTCAATAGACAGCAAATAGACAGCAATTTATCATTGTTGTTATTTTTGCATTTATATTTTATTATACTCTTGATATTGAATAGAAGTTAAGTTTTAAATACTCTGCCAGTAAGGAATACATTGTTGGTAGATGTTTCCTTTGTTTTCTTTTGTTTTTTTCAAACTTGTTGCCTGCTTACATAGAAGGTGACGGCAGATAACCATACGGCCCATTTAGTCTGCCCAATTTTATAAATACTCTTTAGTTCCGGACCTTATCTAATAGCTAGGATAGCCTTATGCCTATCTCACTCATGCTTAAACTCCTTCACTGTGTTAACCTCTACCACTTCAGCTGGAAAGCTATTCCATGCATCTACTATCCTCTCTGTAAAGTAATACTTCCTGATATTATTTTTAAAACTTTGTCCCTCTAATTTTAAGACTATGTCCTCTTGCTGTGTTTGTTTTTCTTTTTACTTTAGTGTACTCCTTTACTGTGTTAATTCCCTTTACGTATTTAAATGTTTCTATTATACCCCCTGTCTTGTCTTTCCTCCAGTCTATACATATTAAGATCCTTTAACCTTTCATTGTAAGTTTTAAACTGCAATCCATGAACCAGTTTAGTAGCCCTTCTCTGAACACTCTCTAAAGTATCAATATCCTTCTGGAGATACAGTTTCCAGTACTGCGTATAATACTCTAAGTGAGGTCTCACCAGTGTTCTGTACAATGGCATGAGACCTTACGTTCATCTACTGCTAATACCTCTCCCTATACAATCAAGCATTCTGGTAGCATTTCCTGTTGCTATATTACATTGTCTGCCTACCTTTAAGTCATCTGAAATAATTATGCCTAAAATCCCTTTCCTCAGATGTTGAGGTTTGTAGTGTATCAAATATTCTATACTCTGCCCTTGGATTTTTACATCCAAGATGCATTATCTTGCACTTATCCACATTAAATGTCTGTTGCCAACAGCTCTGACCAATTTTCTAGTTTACTTAAATAATTTGCCCTTTGGCTTATCCTTCCTGGAACATCAACCCTGTTACATATCGTTGTATCATCAGCAAGACCTTCTGCAATATCACTAATAAAAAGATTAAAGAGACTGGCTCCAAGTACAAATCACTGAGGTACCCCACTGGTAAAAAGACCATGCTTCAAATATACTCCATTGACTACAACCCTCTGTTGCCTGTCACTCAGCCACTGCTTAACCCATTTAAAATATTGGAATCAGCCCCTTCCTGACACATCTGATCCATGCAGACCAGGGATTCATCCCCAGGAGACAATTGTTTGAGAACACCAGGAGGAACATAGACCTGATATGGAAGCTAACAAATACGGCTACCCCAGCACTAATACTGTCTCTAGATGCTGAAAAAGCATTTGACAGAGTAAAATGGCCCTACATGTTCCAACTTCTAAAACACCTGAATTTCCCAAACACTTTCATAACCACAGTACGAGTCATGTACACCAACATCACAGTGCAGCTCACAATAACTGGAACACGTAACAAATCATTCACACTAAGTAATGGTACGAGGCGGGTTGCCCCCTCTCGCCACTGCTATTTGTGTTGTCCCTGGAGTCCCTGCTACAAGCCATTCGTAGCCATCCCTCCATCCACGGAGTAAAAGTTAGAGACCAGATCTTCGTAGTTCAGGATACGCAGATGATGTACTCACGCTAACGAATCCCAGGGAATCTATGGGAGCCCTGGTCCCACTCCTATCCACTTACGGAGACTTGTCAGGCACAAGGTGAACATGGAGAAATCCAGTGCTCTCCCCTTGGACCTTTCAGCGGCGGACACGCACACATCAGCAGCAGATATAAAATACGACTAGCACACGACCAGATCAAATATCTGGGGATGAACCTCACTGCTAACCCAGTGACCTTATATCAGGCCAACTACACCCCTCTTATACGGGCATGGACAGGCGACATGGAGAGGTGGACAGACAAACTGAAATCCTGGATGGGCAGAATTCAAATAAACATCCTCCTCAGCATAGTATTCCTATTTCAGGCCCTACCCCTACCGTTTACTAAGAAATACCTAGCACCTCTACAAAGAGAAATAGATAGGTTCATAAGGCAGAACAAGAGGCATCAGGTGGCATGCAATATACTATACTAACCTAAAACTGACGGAGGTCTGGGACTCCCACACCGCCACTACTATTTTATGCCAGCCCAACTCACACAGGTAGCCCTGTGGCACACCCCAGATCAGAGAAGATGGGTGGACTTGGAGTCCATGATGATGGGCGCTGACATCCCACAACTATATATACGGCTTCCAAAAGAACATAGGGCACCACTGCAAACCACCTGCCAAACTCCATCCGCGTCTGGGACATCTCCACACGAAAACACGACCTAATGTCCTACCTGTCCCCCATGATGCCCCTACTTAGAAAGAGAGCCTTTCCCCTGGCATGAGTGCAGGAGACTATAAGGGCTTAGAATATGCGGGACTGCAGTGCATACACCAAATATATATATAGGCGACGAAGTGATCTATTTTTATGAACTTAAAACTAGATACGAATTACCGACCACGGACTTCTTCAGATACATTCAAATGCGAAACTTTACGAGCTTACCCCACATAAAACAAGTGGCCTGTAAGCGGCCCACCTTTAAGAGAAGCTGTGTGACACTGAGACATACCAGAAAGGTCTAATCAGCAGCATATACTCTCACCTCTGCTCCACCACCACGGACTGGGGGGAGTTGATCTATACTAGCAGATGGGAGGCGGAACTGGGAGAGGTACTGGAGGGCATTGACTGGGAGGCCAATAGTAAAACATCAATTTGCATGATGATACAGGGACGGGCCTTTAAAACAATGTTCAGATGGTACACGACAACGGTGAAACTGTATCACATGCGCAAAACTCTGACAGACCAATGCTGGAGACTATATAGAGACAGAGGAACGTACCACCGCATGTGGCCACATTTTGGAAGGAGGTGGAGAGGCTAGCCTCCCAGATCCTGCAAAAACATGTTAGTCTTGACCCATGGGTGTCCCTACTATCTAAACCAATAGACGGCTGGGCGGGACTTCCAGAGATGGCTCTGTTATGTAATATTACATTAGTGGCCCGTAGAGCCCTAACACAGAGCTGGCTGCAACCCACGACCCCAACTATGGCCACGGTACTTGTTAAACGTAGGGATAACTATCTCATTGAAAAACTAACAGCTCATGTCAGAGAGACATTAAAGAAGTTTACTCGAATCTGGGAGGCTTACTCGGGGACGCTGGGAGGGACTTAGGGAACCCAGCGCTTCACCTAGATGCTGCCTTGGGCACCCAAAGAGTACCACATAGCTGCCCCCTGCCCCTCCGCACCGCTAACCTGCTCGCTACCCGCTCTGATTACGACCCGAACCTCCCCTTTATCTTGAAACTTTCTCTGTACCTCCTCTAGCTTCCTTCCTACTACTCTCCTGTCACTTCTCCTCAATTTTCTTCCCATTCTCCATGGGACTAAAGCTAATCCTCGTTCACTCAACTCGTAATGAAACACGTACAAGAAACAACAAAAAGATAAACGCTTATAAGGCTAGTACAAAAACCTAACCTCGAATCACATGCGATCTTAGCAAAACTATAGCCGTGACCAACATACCCGTTGCCACCTAATTTGCGACTTCCGAAGCCTTATATACGACAGTTATGTTAATGCAATGTTACTTAGATTCAAAGTTCCAAATATATCGCAATATTCTGTGTACGACTATTGTCACATAAGTGATTGTGCACTGTATTATTGTATTTGCTAACCTCGCTAAAACTAGCAAAAATAACAACATTTTTTAAAAAATAAAAATTGTTCGGGATGAGGTGAATAGAGGCAGAGGCCACTTTGAGACCGCTTACAAAAGTTTAGACACGAGGATCGCAGCTTAGCCTGCGGGGTACTTGATGGTCAACATTAATGCTTCCTCATATTCTGTACGAGACAATGCACTGCTGACTGAATATACTGAATTATGTTAAGTGCCAAGGAGATATGATATGTCATACTCTTTCTACTTCTGTATTGCTGAATCTTTGAACTCATTAATAAAGAATAAAAAAATAAAAAAATATTGGAATCCGAACTTAAAGAACAGTTTATTGATAAGCCTTCTATGTGCAACAGTGTCAAATGCCTTACTGAAATCTAGGTAAGCAATGTCTACTGCACCATCCTGATCTATTATTTTAGTTACCCAATCAAAAAAATCAATAAGATTAGTTTGGCATAATCTCCCTGAAGTAAACCCATGTTGTCTCTGATCTTGAAATCCATGTGATTTTAGATGTTCAGCAATCCTATCCTTTAACATGGTTTCCATCACTTTCCCCACTACTGAAGTAAGACTTACCAACACCTCCCTACTACCTTTTTTATGAATATGCACAACATTTGCTAACTTCCAATCTTCTGGGACTACTCCTGTTAATCATTACTTAAATAAATCTGTTAATGGTTTCACTAGTACACCACTAAGCTCTTTTAATAACTTTGGTTGTATTCCATCAGGCCCCATCGACTTATTTGTCTTTACTTTTGACAGTTGAAATAGAAGCTCTTTCTGTAAACTCACATGTAACAAATTACTAATTTGCCCTTTTTCCTAACTGAAGTCTCTTTCCTTCATTTTCATCTGTAAATACAGAACAAAAATATTAATTGAGGAAGACAGCTAGACCTTTA